GTTTGGAAGCCTGTTTCCTTCTTCTGCAGAGATAATAAAGGATCATTTCAGATAAACACAGACTGAAATATGACATGAAAAGGTTCCTACAGTAGAAGTTGGACTTTTTGGACTGACTCTAACTAAAGGTGAAGTGTTATAGAAGAATGCTAACAATTTCTCATTGGCTGATTACTCACAGTACTTTGTCTTTTAAGATATATATATATTCAAATTGGCTTTAATTATTAAAGTTCTGTATGTCCTCCTAAGTTAAAATGGCTTTTTAGATTTTAGGGTTTAACTACTTTGACTTCACTAAAACATAAGTTACAGCTGAAGGTAATCCTGATCAAAATCTACACTTTCTTGTCTACCAGCTGGCATTGTTGAGGTTAACTTAAAATCCACTCTACTGATTAATTTCCTCAAAGATAAGAGAGGCTATGAACAATCAGAAGTCTGATTTCACAATTATAGATCACTTTCAGAGCTTCGCTGTTGCAGTGGGCAGTACTTAGCGATGTCAAATCACAGTAGCATAACCTGCAGGAGGAGGAGCTGCTTTGGGTTTTGGCAGCTAACCTCACAATAAAAACACAACCACAAAATGGATAGAGAAAGTTAATTGTTGAAAGTAACTTTTTGATGTTGCGTTTTCAGGAAGATTAAATAAAAGTTCTTCTGATCGTTTTGTTTCCAATAGAGACTGATGACAGTCAGAGATTCTCATGCTGAAGAGCTGGCGTTGCCGTGTGATGAGAACACCTCTCTGAGTCCCTGCAAGAGGCAGCGCCTGGATGAAGGTTATGAAACAGAGTCTTCTGACTCAGTGGAGGACATGCTGAAGGACATCAGCACGCGCTGTAATGCTGTCCTGCTCAGCAGCACTGCAGGAGCACTGCAGGAGTCAGACACAATACCCATGTATGGTGCATTCTCAAGCTTCCAGATGTCCACACCTAAGGGCAGAACTGTGAATGTTGATGTCGTGGAGGATGCAGAAGATGTCTCATCTTTCAGAACCCCCGTCAGAGAACACTGCACCATTCGGACTCAGGTGTTTCCTCATGGGCATGTGTTTACTTCAAGGACTCATCAGGGGGGGTACCGCTTCCGCTGGGTCCCCAACCACTGCTGAATTTAGGGACTGACACAAGGGTTGTCAAAATGAATGGGCCATGGATCTGATGGAGAATGGAGAAAGGTTTGGAAAGGCAGGCGCTGTTAATGATTAACTCCTTATCTATAGGGATATCAGTGAATGATTAAATGATGTCTTCCTCAGGTAGCCTGTTAGCCGATCCATCAAAAGTGTTGCTTTAAGGAAATAAGACTGCCCTCTCTGCTGTTTACATTTTGTTTGTGTTTAACCCCTTTAGGTCTGCCTGATTTAGCATTTCTTTTCAGGGTTCCTGGAATTTTTTGCCTTACGAGCATGGAAATAAAAATGTTTTGAACTTTGAAAATGATTTTTTTCTCATTTCAACACACACACCGACACACACACACACACACACAAGATACATGGTAATTAAGGCTGTTAAATATACATACGAAAATGTAAACTAAGGGAAATCATAACTTGTTCTCACAATTACTTTGATTTATTTTGGTATGCATAGCAACACAATAAAAAAAAAAAAACAACAACTCCAAAACTATATTTTTCAATCGCTAAATAATAACTTAGGGTATTGAACGCAATGTGTTTGATGCAAAGTTAAGGAGAGCACCAAGTTTTAAATGCAATTGTAATAAGGACTTTATAGATGCAAACCTGAGTATTCTAAACAAAATTTTGTCTTCTCTGCATGGTGACCCGTGGAAAGTAAAATAAATTATAATAATACTTTTAGCAAAAAAAAAAAATAAATAAAAATTCAAACTTAACTTTTCGCCAGTCTTTTAAATTTTTTTTAAACATGTATCCCAGGGTCTGCTTTCCTAACTTGGAAAAAGTGACAAAATTAAGCTTTATGAAGCTTTTTTTTCCATTTGTATAATAACATCAAACAGTTTTTGCAGATTTATCAGCTCAAAATACAAAATATAAATCTCCAGCACATTCATTAGGTTCTTTGTTGATTTGGGACTGGGTGTTGACCTTGGAGACCTTTTCAATCCATTGAGCACATTGTAATGTTAAGGTAAATCCTTTAAGATGTTTTGAATCTGGAGATAACGTACATTAACCTGGTGAATAAAGGCCTTAGAAAATTGGTACTCTGTGGTTATGAAGGGGTCAGCATAGATGGTAATAACACTCAGGTAGGCTGTGGTAATTAAACACTTTACTCTGTAAAAGGGGCCAAATGTTGGGCAAGGAAAAAGCCTGTGGAAGAAATTTGTCACCCCTATAGAGCATTTCATGCTCAGTTTGCAATCTAGAAAGACATCTTTTCAAAATCTAGGTAGTCCGTCAAATCATCAAATCTAAATCAGCTGATTTGTTGCAATGCGATTTGCTAATTTTCTATTTGTGCTAACAAGTAATTAAACAAGTAGATTTTGTTCATTGCTTAACTACACAGTTTCATTATAAGGGTTTAATTCAGCGCAGTTTTCATGTTTAGCTCATTGATACTATGGTCATTTCTGTAGGTGTTGGTAGTTTTCACAGATTAGACACATCAAGTCCTGCACTCCCTGCACTAGGAGCAACAGTTTACTCATTTTTTCCTTATTCCAGGTAAAATGCTTTTAAGTTTTTTTTATTGCTATGTGTAACAGTTGTGGCATATTTCCTAGTAGTTGTATGAGTGGATGCTCTGACTCCATCAGGAGTCCATGTCTTGTAAGTCTCACACCAACTTGAATGTGCTTATGTTTATATTGTGTAATTTGTTTAAAAAAAAAACATAATCAGGATATTCTGATATCTATTAGGCAACAACACTAAATGGAGCCTAGGCGGAAGTTCAACTGAAGAAACTGATTGCTCTCCTACATCCACCTGCAACACAGCCAATCAGCTTAGATTCACACCCCTACGAAAGCCAATCAGCATCTAAAGTTCATCTTAAAAGGCCTCCGATCCACACTTGTCTGCTCCTAGTGTGCAGGCAGTGGATCCGCTGTCTGACTTCATTCAGATGACACAGTTTCAACCCACCTACAGCCCCTCCTCCACTATCGTAGCTAAAGCTTCATCATAGTGTCATTCCTCCCGGACTCTTACTGCGTTCCCTGTCTCATCTTAACCGGTCTGGAAGAACACCGCCATATTGAGCCTGGTTCTGCCAGAGGTTTCCTCCCAATGGGGAGTTTTTCCTCTCCACTGTTGCTTCATGCTTGCCCATCATGGACAGGTTCTCTCAAACTGGACTTCCATCTTCCAGATCCCTGAGTGAAGCCCTAGTATCAGCTCATGCAGCCCACTGGAGCTCCCTGTAAAGCTCAGCATACGGTCTCGCTAACCAGCAGTCTACAGACTGACCAACTTCATCTATCTCCACTCCACCACTAGTTTCAGCCATATTCTTTGCTCCTGTTCATGCATATCTATCAAAAGTAAGCGCTATGTTTCCTGCAGAAGTCTGAGTGCTGAGTGCCAAAGACAAAGTAGTTGTATCAATAAATTTCTCCTAATTGTGTTTTCTCTTTGTGTGAGTCTTTCAGATTGAACTGCAGCTTGTTTAAAAAAGCTTTGTCTTTAATCAAAATTTAAGGCGTCTGCATTATAAAGCAGAGGGGTGTGACTATTACTTGGACCTCCATCTCCAGCAGCACCCGTTGCGCATTTCTAGGCCACAGCTGAGTTTTAAAGGCCCATATGGAGGCAGCAGGTGGAGAGAGACCGTTCAGCCCACTTAGCGCCACAACAGCAGCTCGAAACAAACGGTGTGAAGCGCGCAGCCAAGAGTGACGCACACAGGCGGAAAAATGCGCGCCGAGACTGGTTACTGCGCTCTCAGGTCGGAGGCACAAAAATAAGCCAGACACACAAAATCTTTCTACACTGGAAAAAAAACATCTTAAATTTAGTGCATTTATCCTTGTGTTGAGTAGGTAAATGGGATAGTTTGCCAATGGAATGAGTATTTTTACTCATAAAATAAGAGAATTAATATGCACTTGACAATGCAACTGGGTTTTATTTTAAGTGTAAAATGTCTTGTTCCATTGGCAAAATGTCTCTTTTACCTCCTTAATCCAAGAAAAAAAGCTATTATTTTAAGAAAAAAATACTTTTTTTTCTAGATTTCGATTTTTTCCACAAACCTGGGATGGAGGGGAAGTCTGCCCTGCCGATTGAACAACCCAAAACAGCTAAATAATTAGAATAGGCTATATAGCCTTACCTAACGGGAAGATTAATTAGAACTGAAATGAATAAAGTAGATCTAAATAGTTATTCATAATGACATCAAACGTCCAGTTAAACGATATTCTATCATGTTAATGTCTTTTCTTCAGCAATTTTGACTTAATTACATAATAACATGGCAATTACAAAATGCGCAAGAGCCATTAAGTGGTTTAGAGCCGCAAATATTAGCTATATAACCGCCTAATAAAACAGGAGTTCGTTTTTAAGTTAAATATCCCAAATCTTTATCCATTTTATTTGCATTTTTAGGCTTGGCAATAAAAAAAGCAACATAAAAGCTACATTAATTTTCTCATTCAGGATGTTGATATTGGATGAATATTAAGTCAAAGGAAAACTGTTTCCAAAATAAAATCAAATTAAAAACATTTTATTAGTTGTTCTAATGCCATTCTGTTGGGAAAATTTACCGGTAACTTAAAAAATCGGACAAAAAAACCCGGTAACCCTTTCAAAACCTTTTAGCTGGTATGTGTAACTAAAGGGTAATTTAAGGCCAGAATAGATTAATAAAGGTGAAAAAGCAGGTTGCTGATGTTGAGCCAACATGTTGCCGCCTCCTCCATTAAAGCTTTACCGCGTTGCTGTTTTTCTTTATTTGTTGCACTGGAAACAAGGACGCGAAGGGCATCATTAGACAAGACAAGCTACTTGGAGGGAGAAAAAAGGATCTGGCCTCCAATAACAAGCAGGAGAAGGAGCTTCCCGCTCCGCTGGCCGCCCTGCAGGAGTATTTAAAGGAGAAGGAGCCCATCCAGGACAGGAGACAGCAGGTCAACACAGACAGGTGTGAGCAGGGTCTGTGCAGGCTAAGTCTAAAAAAGGAAAAAGTGAATGTGAGAGGGGAAAAAAACCGCGCATGGACGTTCAAATCAGTGGGTAAGTAGATCAGATTGTGGAGTTCAGTAATTAGTAATGAAGTTATTTCTGTAATGTGTTGTTGATGGTGCTCCTAGGCAACAAATGCAAACTTCAAACAAACCACATCCCCTCCTTGGTTCTACAGACCTTTGAGTTCTGTGAGACCTTTTTTTACTCATCAATTTCATGAATTATCTGCTGAATTTTTCATTTGTTGTGTTTATTAGGAGGATGCTTGGATGTTTATTGGGAAAAAGAAGACCTCTCCCCCTTAAGGTAGGATAAAAAAAAAGGAAATATGTGCAAAACTAAATGGAAATCCCCCTGAATTCTCAATTTTGCTGAAATTAGAAAGAAAAACCTGCCCCAGACAGTGTTGCAGACCTTTTAGCTATGACTGGTATGTTGGCAGTGTTTTGTTAGCTGACGAGTCCTCTGTCAGCTCACACTGCTCTGCTCCCATAACAGTTACATTTACCCTCATTTGGAAAAATGTTGGGGGACCTCACACAAAGATGACCTCCAGTGCATTCGGATGGTTTGTAGGCAGTGTCTCGTTAGCTGGTTGTGGCTTCAGGTGCCAGCTTACCTGCTGCTGCCCTCCAACTGTCCGGCATATCCACAGCAGCCAGACTCTGTGTTTTTCTGATTGAGCTATGCCCAGTCAATATAGAAATAATTTCTGATGAATATCAGCATGAAAGTACACCAATTATGTTGCCGTTTCAGCGTCAAGAGATAATACAACTAACATGCAGAATCAGTTATTTAAATTTAAACTCATGTGTACAAAACGCACACTGTCCTTATTAATTAATATAAGGCCTCAAATTATAAAGCTATGAGAAGAAAAACTAACATTCCTTTTGATCAAAAGGAATTGTGATCAGTGAACAATCCCAACTATAAATACTGCAGGAAAGGGGTTGTTAGATAGCCTTTGTGGAGACAATGTCAGGTTGGAAAGAAAATAGCAATGACCTTAGAAAGGCAAACATTGACATGAGGAGTTTTACTGGAGTTCCTCAAAAACCTTAAGTCATTCAACGGTGAGAAAAAAATCAGATTAAGGAACAGTGGAGACAAATTGTGACAAATAATTTTCCAAGATGAAGTTTCTCAAAATAAAACCAAATATTTTATTATAGCACATTACTTGTAAAGCAGCTTAGGCAAGGGTTGATGATTCAGTCTAGTTCTGCAGACAGCCTAACCTGGCTATTGGTGAAATACTTGGACTTCCAAAACTAAAATAGTCATAAGCTCTACTGCACTCCACTACTTAACAATTATAAAAAAAAAAACATACATTATGTATTCCACCTGAAAGGTGTAATTGTATACATAATAATGTATGTTATTGTTCGATTTTTATTTATATTTGTTGACAGCTTAGATTATATTGTCTTTTTGTACAGCACGAGATCAGAGATAAATATTAGTATGAAAAAAGGTTTTATTTATCTCACTACGTGAAATCCTAGAACTGAGATTTTTCTTTCTGTTATTTAAAACAATTAACTTGTATGGATATCATAAGTTTTCCATGCCTCCAAATCAAACATGTGGAAGGTAAATGAATACTTTTTTTTATATCAGAAAGAAATAAATAGAAATTCTGAAGTTAATGTAAATCATTTTATTATTACAAAATGTAAAACAATTTATGAGGCTCAAATCAGGCACTAAGTGGTCAACTGGAGGTTTCATCTTAAAAACAGGACTGTAAATATGAGAAAAAAATGTAAGGAGCACAATAGAAAGAGTTTTTTTTATTTCATTTTAAAAAAGCCAACAGTTTAAGGGTCTAAATAACCTTAAGGTTCAGTGGTTAGTGTCCAGTATAATGGCTGACCTACACACAGCCATGGATGTTTCTGGAGCAACAGAAAGATGACTGAACCACTCCAGTCATTTCCGGCTTTAACAGCACAGCCCCATTCGACATAAAGTGGCAAAATGTCCCATTTCTACTAAGCATTAGCCATCATAGCTCTCCACGTTTCCGTATGATGATTTCTCTCACCAGCGCTGTGACCTCTTTCCGGACGCTCTCCATGGATTCGTCCGTTCTCCAGAACCGGATCACTTTTCCTTCTTGATTCACAAGGAACTTCCAGAAGTTCCACTTTGGTATTTTTTGGACAGAATCTAAAAGGGACAGTTTAGAGGCATTATACTTCAAACACTTCAAACGACTTCACCATGTTGTAAATAGAGAACTTTGAAACAAATCTCTAAAAACACATTTTCAAGCAGCTTTTCCTTGTGTTTAAATGTCTGGTGTGTCCTAGATAAAACCTCGCAAACACAAATCTGCTCAGAAGATTTACACACTGGTCATGGATGTGAATGTCATTCATTTTGAAATTATTTATTTGAACTATTCTATTACAGTGTGGGATGGTTGTGGTTGGAATTTGGTTAATTTTACATCACAAAAAGATGGTGCACAGATTTGACTTGGTAGATTTTCTGTAACTCACACATTGAAAGGCTAATTGAAGCTTGCAGATTCACTGAACTGAAAAATAAAATGACCAAAATAAGACAAAACATGAACAGGAACGTAAGCAGCTTATTGAGTTTTTCGGTGATGGTTATATAATCTAACAGCTGCTGAGAGGAGGGTTCTGTTATAATGCTTCTTTGTGCACCTATGATTTCTGGTAATGAAGAAGCTCTCCAGCTTTGTAATCGCTTCGTGCATTATCCCAGAGTGACGCATTTTACAGTCCTGTCTCCCAACACCGGCAACATAAAGGGAGTATTCTAAGAGGCCTGGTTCTCCCAGCTGTGGCTGATGTCACTAAAGATAAAAAAAAAAAAAAAAAAACTGCATTCCAGAAGACCTCAATCCACTCCGACATTCTTCCTGTCACTATCCTATCCCTACCGTAAGCACGATCCGTATATCAGCTTATCTGCACATGGACAAGTAGACATTCATGCAGGTCACCATAAATAATTGAATTGTGGTACTGAAAGTACATATTGTATCCTTAAATCACCAAAGAATGCTAATGCAAATCTTTAAAACATGTTTTATGACATTCCTGAGACAATTTGCTGCTTTTTACATTTTCTCCATTAAACAGCTTGTCTGACGTCATCATTAGACATGCTCAGAGCAGTCCGGCAAAATATGACTATGTTGTAATCTTTTTTTTAAAGTTATTTCTTTCTTTAGATTATGCACTATATAACATATGATTAACCATCCATCCATTTTTTTACACGCTGAATCCCAAGCGGGGTCGTGAGGGGTGCTGGTGCCCATCTCCAGTCTACGGGCGAGAGGCGGGGTAAACCCTGGACAGGTCACCAGTAATACGGTTAACATGAAGGGAAAAAATAAAAAGCCAAAAGACTAGATTTATGTTTAAATCCAAAGAGAAAAGTTAGCTAGCGGAAGCAGTGTAGGATTCCGTTTTCATCACAGAAAAGTGATAAAACAGAAATGGTTAAAATGCATTCATTTTCTCAGTAAATACATTATTCTCAAATGTATGTAATTTTATTACATAACAAATTCCCAGTTACAATTTTTTAAATAACATTTTAACACAAACCTGTAAATAAAATTTACATGATTATTTGTATAATAAAGCTAATTTATTTGAAATACATAAACTAACCCTGATTATTATGCAGTTCAAACATGGTTGTTATGTATTTCAAATAAATACAGGCAGTATTACATACATTAAGAATGCTTTATTAATCCGAAACACATAAACTTGAAACTCATGTGTTTTAAATAGTCTGTATTAAATTAATGAATATGCATCATGTTAGGTTTAATTATTATACAGGTGCTGGTCATAAAATTAGAATATCATGAAAAAGTAGATTGATTTCAGTAATTCCATTTAAAAAGTGAAACTTGTATATTATATTCATACATTACATACAAACTCATATATTTCAGATGTTTATTTTGTTTAATTTTGATGATTACAAATGACAACAAATGAAAATCTCAAATTCATCATATCAGAAAATTAGAATATTACTGAAGACCAATAAAAACAAAGGATTTATAGAAATGTTGGCCAACTGAAAAGTATGAACATGAAAAGTATGAGCATGTACAGCACTCAGTATTTAGTTGGGCCTCCTTTGGCCTGTATTACTGCAGCAATGCGGCGTGGCATGGAGTCGATCAGTCTGTGGCACTGCTCAGGTGTTATGATAGCCCAGGTTGCTCTAATAGTGGCTTTTAGCTCTTCTGAATTGTTGGGTCTGGTGTATTTCATCTTCTTCTTCACAATACCCCATAGATTTTCTATGGGGTTAAGGTCAGGAGAGTTTGCTGGCCAATTAAGAACAGGGATACCATGGTCCTTCAACCAGGTACTGGTAGCTTTGGCACTGTGTGCAGGTGCCAAGTCCTGTTGGAAAATGAAATCTGCATCTCCAAAAAGTTGGTCAGCTGCAGGAAGCATGAAGTGCTCTAAAACTTCCTGGTATGTGGCTGCGTTGACCCTGGACCTCAGAAAACACAATGGACCAACACCAGCAGATGACATGGCACCCCAAACCATCACTGACTGTGGAAACTTTACACTGGACTTCAAGCAACGTGGATGAAGTGCCTCTCTTCTTTTCCTCCAGACTCTGGGACCTTGATTTCCAAAGGAAATGCAAAATTTACTTTCATCAGAGAACATGACTTTGGACCACTCACCAGCAGTCCAGTCCTGTTTCTCTTTAGCCCAGGCAAGACGCTTCTGACGCTGTCTGTGGTTCAAGAGTGGCTTGACACAAGGAATGCGACAGCAGAAACCCATGTCTTTCATACGTCTGTGTGTGGTGGTTCTTGAAGCACTCACTCCAGCTGCAGTCCACTCTTTGTGAATCTCCCCCACATTTTTGAATGGGTTTTGTTTCACAATCCTCTCCAGGGTGCGGTTATCTCTCTTGCTTGTACACTTTTTTCGACCACATCTTTTCCTTCCCTTCGCCTCTCTATTAATGTGCTTGGACACTGAGCTCTGTGAACAGCCAGCCTCTTTAGCGATGACCTTTTGTGTCTTGCCCTCCTTGTGCAAGGTGTCGATGGTCGTCTTTTGGACAACTGTCAAGTCAGCAGTCTTCCCCATGATTGTGTAGCCTATAGAACTAGACTGAAAGACCATTTAAAGGCTTTTGCAGGTGGTTTGAGTTAATTAGCTGATTAGAGTGTGGCACCAGGGGCCATCAATTTTGAACCTTTTCACAATATTCTAATTTTCTGATATGATGAATTTGAGATTTTCATTTGTTGTCATTTGTAATCATCAAAATTAAACAAAATAAACATCTGAAATATATGAGTTTGTATGTAATGTATGAATATTTTATACAAGTTTCACTTTTTAAATGGAATTACTGAAATCAATCTACTTTTTCATGATATTCTAATTTTATGACCAGCACCTGTATGTGTTAAATTTTGATAAACAAATTAAATTGGAATTTGTGATGTGATACAATTATATAAATTGTTAAGATATGTATCTTTGTTAGTGTAACTTAACCTCACACTGAAATATAAATAAATTTAACACTTGCTTTTCTGAATTTCCTTTGAAAGTCCTTTCATATTTAATATCTTTTAAAATTACAAATGGGTAAAAATGGACTCTGATTCAGTGAAAAGGAGGGCTAAACCATTCAGCCATATTTGTTTTTGTTGATGGCTGGAAAAAGGTGCAATCACCAGGTTAACATTTATATTATCTGGGGTAGAGGTAAGCCATACATGAAATTTGTTATTGATCAAGTAAATACAGGGCCAGTATTGCTGGTCTTATACATACTTTTATATTTAAAGTCGTGGGGAATCAGCTGTTCCAACGGTTGCGATTCTAAATTCTCCTGAGTGATGCCCGACTTTAACGAGTGAATTAAGTGAATGTGATTGGTGGTTAATCAAGGGGGTGGTTTGCAAGCAAGTTTGATTGTGGCCGGTGTATTTGAAGAATCTTGCTAACCAGTTAGAGACTTAGTGCTAGTAGGTTCCTAATGGGAACTTACATTGTGACCAAGTAGCACTTAGCAACGACATTGACAAGGAACGCTATGGACAGCAGAAACATGTGAGGAGGAGAGTTTTATGTCGGAGGTCGTGGATGAGTCTCCTTCGTCATATATTTTTTAGGAGGAAAGAGGAGGAAAGCAAGGACAAAGGTGTTGTGGAAGAGGACACCAGGGCCGAAGCTATGTTTGGTGTAGAAGGCTTAAAGCCGTACATGTTTGAGCCCTTGCCTCGCAACGCTGCCAGTTCTGTTAGCTCTACACCTGCAGAAGACACAGACGTCCATCCCTGTGAACACTGGGACGTAACTCAATGGTAAAGGAAATGATTCTTATTTCAACCGCTTTGTAGATTAGCTGCGACATATGAATCAAGATGCTATGACCGAAAACAATTTATTGAAAGATAAACATTGATATATGATTGGCAAAATTTAGGTGTACAAGCTGACGTATAACTAACTGGCCTGCATAAAATCATGAAAAAAAAAAACAGATTTTAAGACAGGATTTTTTTTTTTTTAAATAGAAATTTTCAAACTTTTGGGACAATATGGTCTAATAAACAGTACATTTATATACATGTTTAAGCCAGAATGTTTTGTAATTTAAATATGACTTCCCTACGATTTTTGCAGTCAAACAATTCAACACAATCTTTTGAAGTGTTGCATTTAAATCTTTGAGCAGACTCATGAATGTGCAGCTGAGCTTTCCTTTGCACAGTGTGTTTTCCTGCTAACCTGTGAGGAACCTGAAGGCAGGCTCTGCCTCTGAGCCCAGGATTCTGATCTTGCTGAAGAAGGGGAAGGTGACTCCGTATGTGGACTTTGCGAAGGCCTCGATGTCTCTGCTCGATCCGGGCTCCGTGTCTCCAAACTGAGTGCAGGGGAAGGCCAGCACGTTGAAGTGAGAGGTTCCCAGCTCTCTGTGCAGCTCCTGCAGAGACCTGTAGCTCGCCTCTGTGTGCTGGCAGCGACTCGCCACGTTTACAACCAGAGATGCCTGAACGGGAGCAAACCCACCGAGCAATTAGGACAAAACTCTACACAACATGCGATGTTAGGATACACTGAAATGAAGACATGAGCTGTTTTTCAACCACTCGGGTTTGCAGAGATTTATCGCCAAATCTGAGAGGCCAGGTGATGATGTGGACCTACTTTCCCTCGGTACTTCTCCAGAGACACCGTCCTCCCCTTTGCGTCTTTCACCTCAAACGAATAAAAGTCCTTCTGTTTCCTTGGCTTCACAAAGTGCGTCTGGAGGAGAAACAAACAGCCAACACCTACTGTCATGCTCACCAGGACCCTCAACCTTTTTATTCTGGCTTTGGAGGACTTAGTGGGATAACCTCCGAGGGCCTCCATCTTGGAGGGGGGAGTCAGAAATCCTACAAAAAGTCTGGGCGGAGGAAAGGAGGAGGAAAGTACGGAAGAGGATTAGGGCCACTGAAAAAAAAAAAAAAAAAGTTAACTGATTTTCAAAAATGTTATTTCAGTATAATATGAGGAAAAAGTCAGAATTCTGACTGTAACATCAGAATTCTGACTTTTTTTCTCACAATTTTGACTTTTTCTCACAATTCTGACTTTAATCTCAGAATTCAGCCTTTTTTTCCTCAGAATTCTGACTTTTTCCTCACAATTCAGACGTTAATCTTAGAATTCTGACTCTTTTCTCACAATCTGACTTTTTTCTCACAATTCTGACTTTAATCTTACAATTCTGACTTTAATCTCAGAATTCTGACTTTAATCTCAGAATTCAGCCTTTTTTCCCTCAGAATTCTGACTTTTTTCTCAGAATTCTGACGCTAATCTCAGAATTCTGAGTCTTTTCTCACAACTCTGACTTTAATCTCAGAATTCTGACTTTTTTCTCTGAATTCTGACAGCTAACAAACATGTTAGCATCAAACCGTAACCATGTCTGTTTTAAAGACCAAACTAGCTCTAATCACCTTCTGCTCCTACATTAATTAAATAGCACCACCGAGGAACCATTGGACATGTAAAAAGTTGCCTAATTCCATCATTTTCCACCAATGTGTTACTGGTCCTCCCAAACAACTCACATATTTGTCCGTGAAGCTGAGGGCTCCCACATCTCTTCCTTCATGGAGCCCATCTAGATTAAGATCCAAAATTCTCAGATTAGAGTCAGAATTCTGAGATTAAATTCAGAATTCCGAGTTTAAAGTCAGAATTTGAGAAAAAAGTAAAAATTGTGAGAAAAAAAGTCAGAATTCTGAGCTTTAAGTCAGAATTGTTAGAAAAGGGTCAGAATTCTGAGACTGAAGTCAGACTGAGACTAAAGTCAAAATTCTGAGAAAAAAAGTCAGAATTCTGAGATGAAAGTCAAAATCTGGAGAAAAAAGTCAGAATTCTGAGAAAAAAGTCAGAATTCTGAGATTAAAGTCAAAATTCTGTATTTTTCCTCATATTATACTGAAATAACATTTTAAAATCAGTTAACTTTTTTTTTTTCAGTGGCCCTAATCCTCTTCTGTAGTAAAGTAATGTGGAGTTAAATCAGGGTTAAAAACAAAGTAAAACAGGAAACTTCAGAAGCAACATCCGTTTGAAAGGTTGCTAGAGTTAGAAACCAATACTAGTGATTTTTCAACTATACCAACATCAATAAAGATGAATGCTGTAAAACATTAATAACATATTTTCCATTTATGTATTTTTTTCAGTATAAATAATAAAAAAAATATAGTTTAGCTTCGTGTTTAAAATTTTAGTCAAAATCTTTTGTTTGAAATGGAAAAAAATCACAATAGTATTCTAACCTGGATATACAAACTGCACAGTTATGACAAAGTCATAAATCGTTAATGAAATAGTTGTAACAGAGATGCCTTGATCGTTTTCACAATTCCAGGTTATAAGCATGCCACATAACACATTTCTAAGTAATTTATTATTTTTAATAGACTACTTGGATATTATTTTTTTAACCAATGTGTCATAAACATCTTATTGTGAGGTTCCTAAATGGAAATTCCCCTGAAAGCTGATGCCAGTAGACCCACCTGAGCCACTTTTGGGGCCATTATGTTTGTCTCAGTATAAAACACATGACATAAGTACATTTTGCAAATAAATGTTTCTATTGTTTCCACTCTTCTTTGCAGGGACAAAACGAGGCCGATGAACTTGCATATAAACGTTTTAAGACGTGCATCATTCAGGGAAGCAGTAGAGGAGGTCCAGCTGCGAGTACACCACTGCCCTCTGGGCGGCGCTGTAACCCTCGCATTGAGTTTGAAACAATCTGTCAGAGGCTGGAGCTAGAATCTTCACCCAGAGACCCCAAGCAGGCACAAGATGTCCCACAGACACGCATGCAAGGTTTCACACTCTGTAGCACTTTCTTCATACAAAAATGTGAACCATAACCTCCGTAGTTAGATACTATAATTATTCTTCGAACTGCTGTCCTGAAAGATAATAATCAGATGAATACATGTGTATTGTTTATATATATATATATATATATATATATATATATATATATATATATATATATATATATATAAAGCGATTGCAGTGATGGTTGCATAAATAGATAAGATAGTGGTTGCATCAGAAAAAAAGTGTTGCATTGTGCACCTTGCAGCATTCTTCTGAGGCTGGCTTTTGGTCGCACATGTCGGTACTACTTAAATGAATACCTCACACCAGTTCACCCTCTGTTTTGCAGAGCCACACACTTGCTATTCAGCTTTTAAAAAACCTGGCCTCAACATACTGTTTGATTTTAGTTTAATTCGTGTGCATTTTGGTTTTCAGATTTACAGACGTCTGTGTCTTCACCTCAACAACATTCTATTACAGTCAGAAGATCGTCCGACACAGAAACATATAAGGTTTGTTATAAAGATACCACATTTACTATACCACCATCATTTATGACACACTTTATGACGCCAGAGGCTGTCAATGTTTGCACCTAATAGCTAACAGTTGAAATTAGTGTCTATTCAACAATCTAGACAACACTATAATTTCATGTTTTAACTTATGCATGCATTCATCTAAACCTTCAATTTAGTAGTTGCAAATGTGTGATAATGTCTGCAAAGTTTCCTTTGCCAAGACGAAAAGATTATGCACAACGGAGAGGTTTTACAAACTGGATTGGCAAAGGCATGAAAATATTGGAGCACATAACAATTGTACTTGTACTCGCACTTGTCATCCTCTGCTTCATCCAGGACAGTTTTGCAGGGAGAGCAGTCTCAGCAAAGACTCCTAGACTTTCCTCACACCATTCACCTCCTCCTGCTCTGCTGGGGGAAGCCTGGAATGTCCACAGGCTAGTTGAGAGACATAGTTCCTCCATTGTGTCCTGGGTTGTCCCTTGGGCCTCCGTCTGGTGGGACATGCCTGGAACACCTCGCGAGGGAGGAATCCAGGGCCATCTGAAAAAGATGTCCGAGCCACCTCACCTGACTCCTCTCGATGAGGAGGAGAAGTGGCTCTACTCTGAGCCTCTCCTAAATGAGAGAGCTACTTACTCTATCTTTACAGGGCTGCGCAGCATCCCTGCAGAGAAAGCTAATTTCAGAAAACTTGTTCTTTCTGTCATGATCCAGATTTCATGGTCATGGATGAGGGTAGAAACGTAGACTGACCCGTAAATCAAGACCTTTGCCTGTTTGCTCAGCTATCTCTTAACCACAACTGACCGATGCAACATATGCTTTACAGCATCATCTTATATATCTAAGATATTATATTACCTACACAGTGAAAAACATTCAAACAAACTTCTTAAAAACTAATTATAAAAAAATAACATTTGCAGAAAGTGCAGTGGATTTGGAGAGCAGCAGTTCAGCCACATGACAGTTCCCAACAAGCTGGTAAGTTAGAAATGAGTAACTATGACATTTCAATCATTTGTAGACTGACACTGGCTGAGATGGTATCAGAAAACCTCCACGAAACGCTTGATTAGGTTGACAGATGCTTCTTTTCGAAAAAATAATTGTTATTATATATGTATGGTTCTTAATAAAAACGGGTCAAGGGTAAATTAATCTTGGAAGGGGAAATTGGACATTAACATTAATATCATTCACTAAATCAAGGAATCTTAGATTAATATGTTTCCAATTTTTTGTTGTTGCAGATTCTAATGAGAGAAAACCAGATTTGAAGCCCTTTGCCAATATGAATGTACAAGGAATGGCACAGAGGACTTTATGGGCACCATCCCTGCTGAATGACTACTGTAAGAAGAAATGTTATGAACAGGGAGGTCAGAAAATTAGAATTAGAATCTTTTTTGATCGCTTATTAAAGCGTAACACAGTTATTCTTTATAAGGTGAGGTGCAAACAATGGTTTCTCAGAGTGTTTTGAGTCATATCTTCCTTTTAAGTATATGAGGTCAGAAGCATGGTTTGTAGATAGGAAGTTCACTTTGCACAAAGGTAGATGTTTGTTCTTCTTCAGAAGCAGTGGTCAAGTTGAACTGCACCTCAGTCACACATAGTAAGTCTGCACAAAGTTGTATGTGACAATAAATTAAAATAGGTCATTTTTTTCAATGCACAGCAAGAAAAATTGTTCACAAGGACAGATAAATGTCGCTACAACCAAAGATGCTTGTCTGCATGAAACAGAATGCAGTGCACATAAAAATCTAATATTTAACATGTGCTCAGTGTTGCAATTATTAACTGATTATTTGCACATCAATAGGATGATGTAAAAATATTATAATATAGGAAATTGCTTTGTTAAAATGTAATGTGAAAAATAAGTCCTTAGCATTTTATTACATAATATGATTAGAAATACATTATTTACTGCATGTGTTGCATTCAGTAAAGTCTGAGTGGGTTTGCATTATGTTTTTCCTCAAAACACCACCTCAAAACTTGAAAACTAGTTATCCTATTTTAATTTAGCCTAATTTTATCACATTGAACTTGTTGAAAAAATCTCCTTATTAAGAGTGAATTTAAAAAAAATCTTTAAAAATATATATACATTAATATTGGGTTCTATTGTTTGTTATTATGATAATTAAAGTCTTGTCATAAGTGAAAAATATCTACTGCAGCAAAGGCCACCAACAAAACGTAGAAGCTGAAGAATATTTTTTCTCTCTCTCTCTTAGAGTCCAAGTAAACTGCAGTACTCAGTAAACTGAAAAAAAGTGTTAGCTAACTTTATGGTTCTTATTGTTACTAAAGTTGTAAATTAGAGAAAAATGAAATTATTTTGTTCAAAATAAATCTATGTAATTGAAATGCAGACATGTTATTGTGCTTGAAAGTAGTTTTTTCTAGAAGTGAGCTTTGTAATTTTAAATGTATGCAATTTTTTACTTTTATGTTCTTCCGTTATTCTAAACAATCTGTATCTGAAAATAATGACACACTCTTGGTTTTCCGTAACACCAGACTAAGTCAGTACTATCTGCTAATAATTCTAGATGTGCTGATGTAAAGTAGACCCTATCTCCCATCTTTATCCTTTCAGACACCAATCTTCTTGACTGCAGTTGTGATGGAATGATTGCATTAGCGCTTGGTTCTACTGTTTATCTCTGGAACTCAGAAACTCGTGCCCTGGTGGGACACTTCCAGCCGAGTCTAGAACCCGGGTCACCTCGCTGCAGGACTCACACCATCTCCTGTCTGAGCTGGAGCGGTGATGGCAGAACTCTCTGCACAGGGAACAGACGAGGGGAGATACAAGTAACCGAAAAGCTATGAAACCAGGGTGGGGGAAGTTTGAGACTTATTTGTACCACAGTGATGATTTTTGTTGTCCCACTGTTTCTAACTGACATCTAGTTGTGGGATGTTGACCACAAGCAGAGCATGTGGTGTTTTAAGTCACACCTGTCTGTGGTGGGAGCCGTTTCTTGGAAACAGCGATTACTAAGCAGGTACTGGACAGTCATCCGTCATTTAGAGTGCTTTCCTCATTATACTGATTGGTTTGATGGATTGGGAGGAATTTATTTGAATTAAAAGCATTTAACAAGCTATAATGCAATGTGTTTGTTAAGTTCTATTTTTCCTGTCTTACAGTGGCTCCACTCTTGGACACATACATCACCTAGACCCCCGGGCCCCATCTCCTGTTTTAGGTGCAGCCTTCCAGGAGGAGGGGATCTGTAGCCTGGAGTGGTCGCCAGGAAATGAATTACTTGCCAGTGGCTCCAAAGAGGGGCTTCTTCATATTTGGGAGGGGGACGTAGCAGGGATCAAAACACCTTGCAAGCCAGTTATATCAATGAAACAGCCGAGCTCTGTAAAGGTGACATCAGCTTACATGAAATTATAAAAAGTATTTTTAATTTGCTCAAATGCTTTGATTTTCCGTAAAAATTCAAAAAAATTAAAAAAATATCCACTGGACTTGGTTTTCAAGATTTGAAGACGTTTCGCTTTGATTTTGTTTATTTTGAACAAAATAGAGAGAGATGGTCAGACTGAGAGCTTTGTGGTGGACAAAGCTAAAAAGTATTGATGATTTTACCAACCTTTTCTGACTGGATCATGTTGTTAAAATAGCCCATCCATCCACAAGTCCATTCATCTTTGTTTTAGTGTTGTTGTTTTTTTTTTGTTTAAGAACAAGGGAATAGGGTAATGTTTACTCTAGAATTTAAATCTATAACAGTCTGAAACGCATATTTCCAAAATTGCTTGATATGAGCTTTATTTGCCTGGCTGCACACAAAAAGCGTCCATCAGTCACAAGGAGATGACACATTTAAGTTGTTTGTTGCATTGTCACATTCACATATAAACACTTATTCAGTTGTGTCTTTGCAAAGACAGAATTTAGTGGATAGTATTAGTCATAAGAGTGCAGATATTACTGACACAACTAATAAATCCCACAGATGACTATATCCCTCATTCATAAGGGCATTCATATTTTAATGAGAGTAGATGAAGACACCATCTAAAACTATCCACACCAAAGCAATGCAAAAAGTGCTGGTACTGATGACCTGGAGGGGCTTTTGGACCCTGCCTGCTTGTTTTTAATCACAAGTGTCATATTAAGTTGATTTGCAGCAGCAGGGAGAAACCATCAGTGGGCATAAAAAAACATTTCAGAATCCATGCACCATGCCATGTTTAGGTACATATATCTAAACTGTTGTTAAATATTCTTTGACACAAAATCAAGGTGACTTTCAATTCAGCATAATGAGATTTAATTTATATATATAGCACCAATTCACAACACATGTCATCTGAAGACACTTAAGAGAGGCAATATAGTCAGAAAAGTTTCTATCAAAGAAAACCAATTGATTGCATCAAGTCATCGAATTGCAAAACATTCTCATCCAGGATGAGCTTGAGGCGACTATTTTCACTGCATTTTGTGGTTGCCTCTTCACCAATACCTCACATTGAGCATACATGTATCAACAGGGGAGAGGAAAACTCTAATTTAACAGGAAGAAACTTCCACCACAACAAGGCTCAGTGTGAGCTGCCATCTGCAGAGGGCGACTGGGGTTTAAGGACATAGAAGCAGAAATACAGAAAGAAGCAGAGATACAAAAGGGTAATTGTTAACTAGCTCCACAGCTTGACAGACACACCCAGGCAGATGATCTCTGAGCCAGTTCTCATGTCAGAGGATAAAAAAAGAGTCGAAATAGGACTACACTGAAAAAAAGGCCATCTCGAATGTCTATAAAAAGTGGTTTTGATGGCAGCAGCACAGCTGATATTTCTCTCCAGTATGGTGTCACAGTCAAACAGGAACAGACCAGATGAGGCAACAATGATGAGAGAAATCAAAAAAAGTATTAGGTTGTGGGTGGAACTAACAATTATTGCGGAATGGGAGAGCATGAAGAGCATGAGAGAATGAAGAATATTATGAAAAGTGGTCCCTCTGGCCTCCAGCAGCCCTATCTTTTAGCAGCATACATACAGAAAACAGCTCAGGATAACCTATTTTGGATGAGGTATGAGAAAAGATTCAAGAACTCTTGCAATGTTACACTTTAAAAAAAATGTTTTTATTATATCATTGGGAGAAGATATCCAATCCTATATTGTTCCTTATTTTTTCCTGAGGTTAGCATCAAATGACCAAAAAGAAAGAGCCTTTGCCATTTTGTTTCAAGGACCAAACAACATACCGTAGTAAGGTTGGGGTTTTTCCTTGTTGACTCCATGTTTTGTTTGCTTTGACTCAACCTATGGTCCCTCCGGTCCTTCTGAAGAGACTTGCAAATAATCCACATGGTAGATTACATATACATTTGATTTGTACAGGGGAGGTAACCTGTTTTTAAATGACTTTAATATTATAGTCCAATAATTAGTGCTGCTACAGGGGGATATTTGCTGTGCAGTGAAACTATTGTAATGAACATTTGGCATACTCTCTTTGTTTTTGTTGCTACATTGAAACTGGTTCCAAAAGTTCCCCAGTAACAATGGTTCCATTATAGATATGCTTACATGTAAATTGTAGGCTAATGACACAAAACAAGGGATTGTGCATTGTTTTTATCTTTGTGGTATTCATATTGTTTTTCCAATTTCCGTTATTGTAGGCATTAGGATGGTGTCCATGGCAGAGAAAAGTAATAGCTACAGGAGGAGGGTGGAAGGATGGACAGCTCAGAATCTGGGACACACAATCAGGGTCTTGTTTGAAGTCCATAAACACCAATTCACAGGTAGTGATGCATCATGATGTATTATGATTATCATATTTAAATGTGAATAAAGTTTCATGGTTTATTCTAATAACTCAATCTGTAGATCTGTTGTCTCAGATGGGCTGAAAAAAGAAGATATTTAATCACAGGTCATGGACTTCCTCATAACCTTATCACCTCTTGGAGTTGGGAATTTCCCTCCCTAAACCCAATGCACCAACTGACAGGTCAGAAGATTAATTAGATAACTGAACTGTTTGACTTCTGATGCAGTTACAAACTGTTTGACACATTTACACCCCCCCCCCCCCCCCCCCCCCCGATGGGAACAAATTAAACTGCATCCTTGTGTTTCTGAGAAATATATTACTATAGCACATCTGTCATTTCCCACCAAGAGAGTTGGTTTTTGAGGCCGTGCTTGATGACTCACCATTTCTGGGGGTCTTTTGTGAAAATGAAACAATAAATAAAACTTAACAGTTGTTTGCCCGGTTTCAGTTTTACGGAAAGATCTGCTTTCAAAAAATTTAATTCAGCTTTTGTCAGATAGTCAGGGGTCACACAGTTGAGAAGCAGTAAGTTAAAGGAAGTATGCTTAGAGGAAACTGGTCTCTGAGAATCATTTTTGAAGCCTAACCATGGCAAGGACTTCTTAATTGATCGCTGAATGCCACCTTGATCTCAGGGTTTCAAAATTTAAACAGCAGGATGAAGTTGACTGCTTCAGCGCAAGTTGTCATTGAACCACATTTAGAACAGTTGGATCAGATACACATAGGTCTTGTGCATAATATGCAATACTAACAAGTTGGACTGCTGCATTCAAAAGGTTCAATTCAATTCAGTTTATTTATGTAGCACCAATTCATAACACATGTCATCTCAAGGCACTTTACAGAGGCAATTCAACCAGATCATTCAGTCAGATTGGTACAAAAATGTCTATCTAAGGAAAACCAGCTGATTGCATCGACTTATTGACTAGAAGGCAATCACTACCGCAAAGCATGCTTGTAGCGACAGTGGAGAGAAAAAACTCCAACATCCACAAACAGAGGCATGGATGGCAGCAGCACAGCCGATACCACTGGCGTTTCAGCCAAACAGGAACAGACCAGATGAAGCTAATATGAGAAAAAACTGAGGGCATAACGTTAGATAATGAGCTAACAAACTTCTGCAGAATGGGAGAATAGAGATAGAATTAAGCGGAATAATGACAAGTGGCCCCTATGTCCTCCAGTAGTCTAAGTCTATAGCAGCATAACTATAGAGATAGCTCAGGTAAAAGAAGATAACATTTGTTTTCTATTTAAAGGCTATTTTGTATATTGAATGTATTTGGAAATATAATCAGAAATCTAAATCTATTCTGAACAGTTTATGTAGGCTTCCATTTACTCAGGTTTTACACAAAACCTTAGATTTTAACAGGGGTGTGTGTAGCGTTGAAGACCAAAGTGTCCAGTATTGTTGTATATTAAATACTACATCCTTCCCCAAAACATGCAAAAGAAGTACATGTCAGGCAAGTGCTTAGGGTTGTTTAACAAGATGCTAGATTTTTGGAGTGACTGTGTCTTAGTTTGTAAAGAAGGCCTTTTAATATCCAAAAGCTGTGGGTTCTGACATTGCCGTGTTCTACTTGCAATATGATCATATGCTGCTAATAATGTAAACATTTAAATAAATTTATTTAATAAATAACTTCAAAGTGTTAATAATGAAATTATCATTCTTTTTTGTCTTTCAAGGTCATTCACAACGAGTTCTGCACTTGGCAATAAACCCTGACAACACTAACATCTTCTCAGCTGGAGCAGACCAGAGGTTCTGTCTCTGGGATCTATAGTTCCATCCTTCCATCCCTTATCTGACAAGCTTTATCCCGAGTGGGATTGCAAGGGGTGCTGGTGCCTATCTCCAGCTGTCTACGGGTGAGAGGCGGGGTAGACCCTGGACAGGTCGCCAGTGGATCTATAGTTAAAGATGAGAGAAACGGCGAGGTGGTTTCAAGACTGAGAAAGCTGATATAGACCACCAGATATATTTTTTTAATTGATTGCCTCTGGAAATTAGAAGGGGAGAAAATGGATCAGATGGTGGGATAGTAGATATTTTTAAGGCAGAATCTTTTATTGTCAAAGAAAATCAGCTGGGAGGAAAGTATGGGGTAAATTGGAAAAAATAAAAGTTTACAAGAGTTTGATTGGCTGTTTATTTTGAGGGTGTTAGAACAAAATGAGGAGGGAGAGGAAAACATAGTGTAGATCGGATTCATAGATGCAATGGGAAATGAAAACATGTCAGTAAATCATTTTGTTGGCAATTGTGTTTTTCTCTCTTGACCTCCACATTTGTATTGGAAATGTTGCACATTGACAGCACATCTTTCCAATTTTCGACTTACATATTTCGACCCAAAAACAATGTCACTTTTTTACTGTTAATTAATATTTATATAGAGTAATTTGTTCTAAGCATGTTTAACCTGCTGCTACATAAAACGACAAATTATTATTTTTTTTGTTCATCTACATAGATAAAATCTCATAAACCCCAAAGTTTTTTGGATTACTCAAAAATATCTGGGGACCTGTTATTACCAAATGTAACCATGGGGTTCGTCTGTCTTCCTGCTGCTGTACTCTATCAACTTATATCCTGTTATATTCAATACATTTGAATAGTGTTGATAAGTTTAGTAATTTCAGTAACTCAGTTTCTAATTGCTCTCTGCCTTTGGGGTTGTTTTGTTATTTCTATGTTGTTGAGAGAAACTCAAACAACTACACAGCATCAGAGAACAAAAGAGAGCAGTAAAAAAACTCCAAATCACAGAATCTACAGTTTTAACAGTTTTAATTTTATTGACAGCTCCCACAGCTAAAACAGACCTGACATCTAAGAGCTGCAAAACTGACACGCAGCTGTTTTTTCTTCTTCTTTTTTTTCCTGGTTGCTTGAAATATGCTGCGAATAAACTGGGGATTAAAGTTGTGTTTATTCTGTGTATGCAGGTATGATTGAAAACAATATTTGACAGAGACTTGACTGTTTTCTGACTTGGCCTTTTTAAAATGACTAACTTTGTTAATAACTGACTTTGGCTCTCATTGACAGAATTTAATAGCAAACCAAAGCTATGGCACAACCCCTCACACATTGAAATGCAGAAAATTGTGAAAATAATTGCAAGTGGGAAGGACAAGCCAAGAAAACTGTACAATTTGCAAAAAGACACTTTAAAGCAACAAAAACAAAGCTTATTCTATGTGTATAAGTGTTGCCAAGGTGATGTAAATATTGTCTTTAAGACATTGTTAACAAAGAAACCTGCAATGATGATAGCAGACTAGTGTTTACCCTGATTAGTTAAACTGGAAGCTCAAACTGAAATGAAAAGTATGTGAAGGTATGCATCTGAGATCGATAGATAGATAGATAGATAGATAGATAGATAGATAGATAGATAGATAGATAGATAGATAGATAGATAGATAGATAGATAGATAGATAGATAGATAGATAGATAGATAGATAGATAGATAGATAGATAGATGAAATGTTAAAGCTTTTCTATTGGCAGTGTTACTGTGTTACAGTGTTAGAATTTAATATTGACAGAGAACACTCACATTACCTTTGTTCTCACTGCTGGATCCCAAAATAGACTGGCGGGTGGAGCTACCTGGAAGTATTTTTAGCAGCTCCCTTAAAAGCTCTTACTTTGTGAACCATTGTCGATGATAGAATTGAACAACTTTCCCTTCCAACAACCTGGTGATGAGAGTCTGTCGCTTTCAGATTTTCAAACGGGACGTAAAGTTTTATTTTATTCTAAATCTAGATCTTAGTTTTGCAAAAAAAAAGAAACAATAGTATGAAAAGTTACAAGGAACAAAACAATTCACAATCTTCCAGATGGAGATGAAATGTGATCTTTGGACACACCTCCACTTCTGTACTCTTTGCGTAATCTTGCAGAGTGACCATATTCCATAAATTCCCAAGGGAAGAGAGTTAAGGCACACAAGAGGGTGACAGCATGAGCAGAGCTGATGGTATTCATTATTTACTAGACAACACATGCAAAGCTGGTTAATGGAGAAGGAAGGAAGGGAAGTAAACACATTTCTAGGAAAGCGGACAGATACCACTCTATGTTTAACAGTGAGAGCAAGATACTCCAGCTGCTGGCTGTGTTAGGTAAGAAAACTTTATTCACTTTAGGCAGAAATGTAATGCTTTCTACTGTTTTTGTTGGGATGGGATTAGAAACTGCATTGTAACAAGTACAATATCACTGATATCGATAATCTGATTCCTGAGTTTTACAAAAGAAAGTTTGAGGCAACTTCATTCTGAGTACTGTTTAAAAGGTTTGACTTGTGTGAATCACAGGCAATATTAAATTCTATTATGTGTAATAAGGACCAAACATACAAACATACCTGTTTTTTTTTTTTTTTTTTTCTCAAAATCAAAACTGATCCAGTTTGTGGAATTAGGCCACTGTTGCCAATTAGGTGACAGTGGTAAAGATTCTACCTAAGGCCTGATGTAAGTACATGTAATCAGTTCAAAATTGGTCTGATTTAGTTTCTTGGTGTCATGTTGGGGTAGATAAGCACAAGGTTACTTGACAGATACTGGAATTAGATCCGGGACTGGTCACACAAGGCTCTCTGCAGAGAGGGACAGTTAGGTTAGCCAGGCAGCTAATGATCTTGTAGCTGAGAGAATGTGCAGATCTGTACCTGTTCAGAGATTCAGGCTGAACGGCAGAGGGAGGGAACCAGGAGGGTCTAGAGACTGATCGACAGCAGAGGGCTTGGCAGCGACAGGACCTAGCTTCAGGCTTGTAGAGTTCAGAGCTTCTCCAAGTCCTTCTTGGAGGAAGGTTGGGAGATCCAGACAGTTTGATCTTCAGGTTTGTTACTGAGAGCAGGCAGGCAGGTTTTCAGTTGAGACACATCCTGAGCTTCAGGTTTCAGTCGGGTTCTTCCTAGGAGGCAGAGAGGACAACAAACTGATTAGGTTCAAGTCAGGCTTTCAGGGAGTCAGAGAATCAGGCAGGCTGGTTGGCTCAGGCTTGCTAACCGTAACTGGCTTAACACTCTGGCGCTGAAGAGTAGTCCTGCCGCTGCTTATATGCTGATCTCCCTGATGAGCAAATCAGTCGCAGGTGTGGTAGTCAGCTACCTATTCTTTGTATTGTTGTTTTCCTAAATATTTTGGAGATTTTTTGTGGAAATGTTTCTATTCAATAGTTATATTTAGTTTGCTTATTGGTAATCTTTTTGATGTTCATTGGGTTTTTTTCTTTCCTTAACACTTTTCTGTCTTACTTATTTAGGGATTAGCATATAAAATATTGGTTTAAATATATAATATATTATACATCTAAGAGGATATTTTGTTCTCTGCTTTATCTTGTTGTAGAGGTCTGCCATGGCTTAGCCCCTGGCCAGATCACCTCCCGTTACTTGTTCATCGAAAAATCCATGACCTGGGTCAAAGGCCGTGAGTTCTGTCAGAGCCACTTTGTGGACCTTGCAGTCTTGAACACAGAGATGGAATACTTTGCTCTTCTCAATACCACCCATACAAACAAAGCCAGTTTTTGGCTTGGTCTGCACAGGCATGCCAATGGCTGGAAGTGGACCGATGGAGATGAGCTGAGCTACAGACGATGGTACAACTATAACTATGAGGGCCAGTGTGCTAGTTTGGAGGCCATGTTGGAGAAAAACAACAAGCTACTGGCTCGTCTCTGTGATGAGGAGCACATGATTGTATGTCAGGGTAAGAAGGACTGCTATTTTGAGTAACCATTCTTAAAAAAAATCCTCCCTCTTTTTTCTTGCATGAACCAGTATGTTACACATTCAGTTTTTATCCAGATTATGTAAAATATAATACCAAAGGGATTTTTGTAGTGTGATGCATTTGTTTTGACTTATTCACTGTTTTCCCTTGAATTGTGCTAGCTGGAAGCTATTTTTCCTTTGTAAGGAATAGATAGGATGAATACATCATTATCGTCACAATAGTAAAACATGGAATATTTCACAGGTTATAAAATCTATAATGGAAATAAAATTTTAATTTTAATAAAAGGCTGATCTAAAATGTTTCCTTTCTTCCAGGGCCTGTTTCCCCTCAGTCACTAGCTGTGGACTCTGTCAGCATTGATCATGTGAATCTAAGCTGGAATGTTTCTGCATTCATGCAGACGACTTCTCATTATTACAGCGTAATGATATGCAGCTTCATTTGCAAGATGCTCTTCTATCCCTACAACAATGATTCCCACTTTATGAGCATCAAGATCTCCAACTTAACTGCAGCCACAGAGTACTCAGTAAATGTCTCTGCTGTTGTTGTTCGTCTTGACAGTGTCACCGGCAAGAACTTAATTCTTCAAGATCATCCCGCAACTTTAAAAGTTAAAACAGGTAGGAAGAATTTTCAGGGAATTAATGAAACTTGAACCTTGTCTTTAAGGTCACTGAATAAATCCTTAACATACAACTTAAAATAGCGCTTTGCAAAAGGATTGATATCCCTTAAACATTTATTCACATCATAGCCAAAATCTTAAGTATATTTACAAAACCTGAAAAAAGTCATGCATATGTTTTAATCACAGTAATTTTATACTTTGTAGAACCATCTTTTGCTGTAATAATAATAATAAAAAAAAAATTCTGTAGGATTTGTCTTTATTACCTTTCTGCTACCAAGAAAGAAAAAGTGCCTATTCTTCATTGCAATATGTCTCAAGTGTCATTAGATGTGTAGAGCACTTGTAATGAGCAATTGCTCAAAATTGACCAAAAAGGTTCAGTTCAATTTAGGTACACACCTTGGCTTTTGTAATCTATGAAAATGACTCATAATAGACCTTTCTAAATCAGTTAACTGTGGCTCAGTCTCGGATTATTTTCTTGCTGGGAAATTATCCTCTAAGCTAGATGCAAGAACTTGAAACGTGCAGGTTTCCCTTGACTTCTGTTTATAATTATACATTATAAAGTAAAACACCAATTTATGCCATGAATCAGCTACTCAGAAAGCTTAGCTTTCCTGCTGATTCATACACCCATCATGTGTCCCAAAGTAAAGGATTTACAATCCTCTCAATCTCTGAATAAAATCCTTGAAGTATCCCTGCTGTGGTCACTGCAGGGACACATTTTGCCTTGTGCTGTTGTTTTTTATTATTACTATTAGGCCCAATTATTACATTTTCCTGTTTTGTTTGAAAAAGCATTAAATTAAGGTCAAATTATATTTATCAATATGCAAGCCATTAAAAGACGTGCTTAACTAACTGTTAACTGCCTTGCATTTAAAACAAAATGAAAGGAGGATTCATAGTTTTGGATGCAATGTATTATAGATGAAACCCAATTTGTGCTCATGAGCATCTTTTCTCTTTCACAGCAACACCTAACAACGATCAGAAAATTGTTTACAAAATATTTAACTTTCTCAAACTGATGATTCTGGTGCCTGTCCTTTGGTTTATATATAATTTTCTAAAAATAGGTAAGTCTTGATTTCTTATCTATACATAAACACCTGAATACTACAGCACTAATACATATTGTTTTATCTCATCTTCAGAAAAATGCACAGAGAAGCTCAAAGACAGATCATCTGAGGAGCCATTAGTTCAAGAAGCTGTTGTTGAACTGTTACCTCAGAAAAGTGGATTAGAAAAATAGGAAAAGATGTAGCAACTGTGAATCAACTTTTTAAATCGCCACTAAGAGGATCTTAAGCTGTTTTTAACTATAGATGTTAAAATGTTCAAGATAAGTTAATTAAGCTCAATTATTGCAATACTGTGACTGATTTATTTATCCATATTAACAGTGGTGGGCAGTCAGGGCATTCAAGGCCTTCGTTGCTTGCCTAAAATCAATCAGAAACACTATCTTAAATTCAATTATTCAAAATGTATATCTAACTGTATTAATTAACTCAAAAACAATCCATTCTCTTTATTTTGTAGCGTTTCTCTTGGCTGCACTGCTTCCATTGCATTTATTTGGTTGTTATATTTTTTGTCCAAACAGATTGCAGCCTTAGTGCAGCCTTAGTGCATTGCGTGTCAATCAAATCTTCCCAGGGCCTTCAGAATAAGCAGTGCTAGCTGATTCTTCCTTAACAATTTTGGTGAGGAACGTTTCTTCAACCAATTAGATTTCAGATTTGCCCCACTGGGCCAGCTAGAGGGCCCAGCCTAACCATTTTTAACCATTGTCACAATTTTCTGTCCTCTGATTGGTCAGTTAGAGCAAAATGTTCACAGCCAAGTTTAGCTGGTGACAATCTGCAATTTAGATTTGCTTTTGCTAAAAGCTTTCCTGGCTTCAATTGGCTGATACTGAATGGAGATACTAAGACTTCCCGCACAAAGACAAAAGGATGAATTTTGTTTATACATAGTCAGCATCACTGGTGAGTGTGATATACATTATTTTCATACTTTATGCTCTGTTTGATCTGGTATTTAGATGCATTTTGAATCCAAACTGCTACTGGTGCTGTAAATGTGGTGGAGCTGTGTTTATAGAGTAGTGGATTGCCGTTGTCTTAAATGGGCTTCTTGTTTAATTGATCTCTGTATTCGCCCACATGCAAATCTTCGTCGTTTATACCTGCACTTGTTACATTTCATATTCAAATACCATTAGTGGTTTTCTTTATTAAAATGGGAAAGTAACCACCCTTATGCAACACACCCTGTGTATAGCAAGATAGCATGTGCATTTCCTCAGTGGCAATTATTACAAATTCAGTAAACAGGTACCTTTATGTCTTGTTTCTGTCTTGTGGATATATATATATATATATATATATATATATATATATATATATATATATATATATATATATATATATATATATATATATATATATATATATATATATATATATATATAGAGAGAGAGAGAGAGAGAGAGAGAGAGAGAGGCTCTGCTTTTACATTGAAATAGTGCAAGTTCAGAATATCTTCAAAAAAAGTATAGTATGTCATTCGAATTACTCATTGTCATTATTGCATTTTGGGTTTTATTGTAGATACTCAAATTTTCCAAATGCATTTCATAAAAATGTCCCAAGTGTCTCATAATGATGTTGTCACTTTTCACACAGGGTGGCAGAGTAAGGGAAAAAATTATGTGCAACAGCATTGTTCCAGTGTTGTGATCATATCACAGTGAATACCCCGTTACACATTGGTGAATGACTCTGGTGTTTTTTTATGTATGTGTCTATGTCATGTTTATTGTCAAATACTGTGTGTTATTTTTGTATAATCCGTTTTTTTCACACCAGAAAATACTTTAAAAGTAAAACTGAACTTTTGTGCAAGGCAATGAAACTGATGACAAAAAGTAATTGTCATATCAAGAGTAGTATGGTAATATGGTAATATATGGTAATATGTGTATTTTCATTCTATCAAGGTTTGATCAAATTATTGTAAAATAATGTGTATTATTTTATATGATATCATAATATTGTGTAATAGCTGAATATTTTGGATAGAAATTAACTTTTGTAACATTTGTTACCACAAAGCTAATGTCTAAATTTTGAATCACAATGTGACATTATTTTTTGGAGGTTGAATAAAAATTATACTTAAACTTTAGTAATGATTTACTTTACTTATGGTTTACTTATGATATTTAGTGAAGTTGTTTATTTCACATGTTACTCCTCTGGCTTAGGAGCAGCAATATAGAGAGGGGAGAAATTATGGAATTAATTGATGACATTTATTTAAGGTGAAATATATGAAATTAAATATCTTTGAGCAGGAATCAGTCAGAGTTCTGCCTAGAAAGAAACTTGCACACCTCTGCACAACAACCCTCTATATACAAGCATTAATTGTAAGTAGGGTACCTGTAAAGGAGAGTAGAGCCGGATAATCTGCCAAGAACAATCCCCACGAAGATATAGAGTTAATAATCATGAAATAGAGAATACTGTCATGACCCTTGCCAAGGGTGTGTGAATATAAAAAAGCTAAGGACTTGGAAGAGTGGTCCTTCATCCTTGCTACGAGCCACCCTGCAAACCGCGTAGAAATTGTGTCAATAAAAATTATGCACGAGACTGATAACTCTGGGCTGCCCTGTTGGACTCTAACATGCTCTGGGAACAGGTCTTCTCATTGGCATTGCGGACCAGACTCCTGCTCTGCTTGCACAGAGATCGGTTGGCCCCTAGTAAAGGGCCCCTGACTTTATACAACTCAACACCTCCCACAGGTAACCAAAAGGGTCCTCAAGCAAATTTGAACCAGTTGGGCAACCCCATATGAACCTTTCAGCATCCCTGTGGAGGATGTTTTCATCCATGGTTGGGGCAGAAAACTCACTGCTCCTTCTGAGGTCAAGGTTTAGCAGTCAGCTGAGCTCTTGAGAGCAACCTGATATGGGCCTTCCTGGGAGGCTGAGGACTAATTGGATCACAGTCTCTCATCCATCTTTATCTGGAGGGATAAAACATTTTGATCTGCCAGTTCAGGGACATTGTCTCTGTGGAGTAAAAATGAGCACTGAGAGTTGATGTGCAAGGAAGTAAACGTTTTATTTTACTCTGCAGAGGAGAATGGCACAAACCAGCTGAATACAGCTGAGTGCGATTCTGAAGCATTCAACACATCCCTACATTTAAAAAGAATCCACAGCATACACACACATGAACATTGAATCTTCCCAAGAGAAACACTTTAGTTCATCAAAGGACATACATTTGCTCAGATAAACATTTCAGACAACTGTTTTCTATTCACACCAGAAACAGGACAGGAGAACGATAAGGGCATACATTTTAACCATAGCATGAAGGAGGTTTTGTGAACTCATTATTTCTAATGACCTTCCCCTCATCCTTATCTAGAGTAGTGAGGGGAGGCACCTGCTTTCTGTCCCCCTAAACAGTACAGCATAGTGAATGGTACAGGATCTCTCTATCATTACTTCTGTTCAAACATTTTATCACACAATATAGGCCAAGGAAAAACCTGGATTCCACATCTCCAAAGCCATCAAGTGACGCGAGGTACTTCAAAGATCTTCATACCTTGCCACGGATGAGCTTTTAACCATCTATGAATCTTTGGTGTGGGTGATTACACACAGGTAGTCAAGAAAGTGAAACTTGTATGGTGTACACATTAATTGCAAATAGAATAAGTATTTCTTATTTCAAACTAATTAACTATTTCTTAATTGTGTCAATTAAACTCTTAAGAGTGTGGACCTATATAAACCTCGAAAAAGTGTTAAAATCAACTCTGCCAGAGTTAAATCAACACGATTTTTTGCTGTGTATGTGTTCTCCCTGATTTTTTTAGCAGTAAACAGCTTAAAAATGCAGGAAGATATTGACTAATCCGCCCTTCCTCCCCTAACATTGCAAGAAATGGTTTGGTCCTCAGTAGTTGAAATTAACAGTAGATTATTAATCTGAGTAAAGTAAACTAGCTATCTAGTGGCTACAACCACTTAGTTAATGCACTTAATTGGAAACGGAATCACGTAACAGATGATTGGTTTTTGGTTTGTTTTTATTTTTCAAGAAAAATTCATCATTTGTAATGAAAATGAAATACCACATAGGCCAAGTAACTGAACCAGATGCTCACAGAGCTTAGAAGTTACATTTACAAACAGACCAAGCAACAGGAGACCTTAGTCCTCAGAGGATTAACATCAGTTGAGCACTAGTATGTTTAAATGCCATCCAAAACCATTAGTCAGTAGGGCCAGTGGAACAATCATGCCTGAAATGGTGAGTCTGCATTAAGTGCAGGCTGGCTATATTTTGGCAGCAAGTGTAACAGCGGCTTGAAGAATTAAGGCTAAACTATTGGCAACCTTGGGAAGACACAAAAACTTTTTATTTTATTTTATTAGTAACAGGGACAAAATTGTTGGTACTTCTTATTTAATGAAAGAAAAACCTCAAACGACACAGATATAACCTGAATATGAAAAAAGTCATAATAAATACAAATTCTGTGAAATTGAACAAATGAAAGTCAGACATTGCTTTTTAACAATGCTTGAACAGATGATAAATACAGAACAAAACAGAAAAAGCCCATAAAACAGGCCTAGACTAAATTAATGGTTCCTGTAGAAAAAACTGAAAATAATGTAACCAAAGATATTAGATCCAGGTGTGTCCACTAATTAGCACCACAGGTGCCTACAATCCTCTAATCAGTCAGTGAGCCTATAAAGGCCTACAGGAAGTCACTTTGCTGTTTAGTGGCATGGGCTGAATCCCAATTCGTTCCCTAACCACTAACAATTAACTATTAAGTCACACTCGCAGCTGTGGAAGACGCCTTGATTAAAGTTGGGGGGGTATAAACAAGAATGGGATGGCCTCTTCCCTCCAACGGAAAAAGAAAGCAGTCATTAAAAAGGCAACATAATGATGCCTCGTGTGTGGCTGTAGCTCTGTGGTACAGGGTGACATAAAATATAACATTTGCCCCCTCTTTAAAGCAAATGTAGATGGTCAGATAAAAGTATTTCAAAGATGACCTTTCCTTTTGGAATTAATGTATTTTTCTTATATCTTACTTGTGATTTTTTGTCAGTGTGATGAAGGTGCAGCAAACCGGTGGAACTTACATCTAAATGCACAGTTTTCCTGCGCCATCAAGCAGCTGTTACACTTGCTGCCAAAATACAGCCAGCCTGCACTTAATGGAGACTCACTATTTCAGGCATGATTGTTCCACTGGCCCTACTGACAAATGGTTTTGGATGTCATTTAATTTGGTGTACCCTCCGCCGGAACGCGCCAATGGAGGGCTAGTGCTCAGGGTTAGTGCTTAGGGCAGGGGTGTCAAACTGGTTCCAGAAAGGGCCGTGTGGCTGCAGGTTTTCTTTCCAACCTAGCAATAGCACACCAGACTCCAGTCATCTCATCAAGTGAGTCCAATCTTAACATGATGGCTTGAGGAGATGAATTAAGTCTGGTGTGCTATTGCTTGGTTAGAAAGAAAACCTGCAGCCACATGGCCTTTTCTGGAACCAGTTTGACACCTCTGGCTTAGTGGCTGGTTTGGGATTGGGCCTTTATGTGTACCACATTCAACATGGGCCAGATGAAAGGGTTATCTTAGGAAATTAGAAAGAAAACTATAGACAAGCATGTTAAAGCTTAAGGCTACAAGACCCTCTTCAAGCAAAACGATGTTCCTCTGATTGCAGTTGTGCATTTTATTCAGAAATTTAAGATCCAAAGGACTGTAGCCAACTTCCCGAAGCATGGCTGCAGGAGGAAAATTTATGACAAATCATAAGGAAATATAATATAAATAGATAGAAAAGAGCCCAGAAAACTTTTCAAAGAGATTTCGAGTGACCTTCATGCTCAAGGAACAGCAGTGTATGAATGCACCATCCGTTGTTGTTGGAGCCAAAGTGGACTTGATGGGAGACGAATAACGAGGAAAACAATAAAAAAAAAAAATAAATCATAAAAAGCCAGACTTGAATTTCCAAGCTACATTTTGTATCAATCTTTTTCATTTTCGTTGAATTTTTATTTATAATTTTGTCATATTCAAGTTATTTCCGTGACCATTGTGGTTTTTTCTTATACTAAATGGGGAGTACTACCGGTAACAATTTTGTCCATGTCTGTATGTAGTTATAATCAATGCCCTGCATCTCCTGTAACAAGTAGGGTTGGGCATTGAGAATCGATAATGAATTAGAACTGGTTCTGTCCTTTCAAACCTCCTGGCATCGTTCAATTTTTTTAATCTTTGCTTCCTAGTTTCGACGTCCAGTCAGACAACTGTAAATAGAAGTGAATACTAGCAAAGACGACTCTGCAGGAGTGTGTGCCTAAACATGTTTGTGCTGTGCTGTCAGAAAGTGTGGCTTATATTAAATAAAGAAATGACCAGTTGGCAACCTGCAACACTAGCAATGGGGTTACAATAGGCAAAAGGTGCCGCATGGATTAAACACCACCTAATCTGTCTTTGACCCACTGTATTGGTGTAAGGTAGATTCCCAGAGAGAATTTGTTCCTCCTTTTAATTCATCATGCATCCTCTCCAGGGAGAATGGAGCCTTTTTTTATACTTTTTTCCTAACTTGTTTTCTTGTTCTGGATAACATGAAGAGCACCTTCATTTAAATTTGTCAGACTTATAAATAATTTTAAGCATGCTCAGCTATTGTGTATTTTAGTTCATTTGAGATCTGTTTGATATGATAAAAGCCACTAATTGAGTGGTAGAGTATGGAATCTGACCATTCATCTGTCCAGAAAAATAAATCATACATCCATATCTAGCTGAGTGGAACTGAGGTGTGGTGAACAACGCTGAGGATATAAACCTTCTCATGAGGCCTTCCTGCTGCACTGCTTTTTCATCCAGCTCAGACACTCAGCCTATCACTGCAATGTGGTAAGAAAAAGGTAAATAAAATAAAAATAAAAGCGGTTTATACAAAATAAGTACCCGAGGCATCAGACACTGGATATGTATAAGTTTGTATGTTTCAAACTTAATGAGAAAATATAACTGTGAACATAAATGTATAAGATTATATTAGAGTTCATAGGATTCATATCAGGCTACATGGTGGTGCAGTTTGGGCCAAAAAGTTCCTAGGTTCGATTTGAGGCCTAGGATCTTTCTGCATGGACTTTGCATATTCCCCATGTGCTTGCGTGGGTTGTCTCCGGGAAGTCTGGCTTCCTCCTACAGTCCAAAACATTACTGTTATGGTTAATTGGCCTCTTTAAATTGTTTTTAAGTAAGTGTGTTTGCATGGTTGTGTGTCTTTGTATGTATATTCATTGCTTACAATGGACTGCAATCTGCAATCTGTCCATCCATCCATTCATCTATATACATATTGATTTGATACATATTATTTACATAATAAAATCAATAATTTTATTTATTTTAGAGTGAAAAGCATTAGTTTGAATGAACAGTTACATGTTACACTTTTTTCAGTGTAGGTTCCTAGTACTGTGGCACCAGTGGATTTACTTAATATCATTTTGGATATTTGAATCTTCAAAGAAACACAAAAGACAGTCACAAAATAAGCCTTCTATCACATAAAGAATATCTCCAGGAACAACAATTTACTTTCTCAGCACCTTGAAAACTAGTTGATACATTCACCTGCTAGCTGCATCCTCACTGGCTCTCTATATATCAGAGAAAAGTATCCATTGCCAGACCTCTCAGGTTTGCTGCTGAAATCTACTTTGAACACATAGACTTAGAACCAAACAAGGAAGTAGCATTTATTTCCTATTTTCCGCTAATATGGAATAGACTCTCAGAAAAAAAGAAAAAAAAAGAAAGAGAGTCACTTTTATTGCTCTGTACTTGTGACAGTGTAATGACAATAAAAGCTAAAAAAAATAATAACTTCGCTCTCTGGATTACCCTGCCTATCTTGTGAAACCTAAGTTGCTTTAAATCGAGATTAAATACTTCTTTATACCTATTAATAGTTAGATTCTCAGTCCAACGCTCCTTTTTTACATCAATCATTTGATCTTTGTATACATATTCATCGCATGCTATTTCATTCACTTCTCTTTATTTGTGTTAACTCTAAGCCACTGCAAAGAACTTTTTTCATGTACAACAGTTTGAATTGTCTTGCCACTGAAATGTGCTATATAAATAATCATTCTTTGCCTCACTTTCAGGGGCTCTCAGGGTAGATTCATGTTAGTAAATTGAAAATCACACCTCAATGTTACCGAATAATTTCATTTGCTATACACCTATTACACTTACTGCCTCAGAATGACACCGTTGGTCAGATTTACCCTCAGGGTGAGTGCATTTCGATGATTCATAGATTTCCAATGCAGACCACATCCTTTAAGGGAAACACATATGCAAGGGTAAAGCATAGTGGGGGGCGCATTCATCACTAGATCAAAGCAACTAATAGGAGGAGATGTTTACTCTGAAGGGTTTTTGTGCTTTTACACTGTTGGGCCTTTTTCTTTTTCTTGTCAAATCCAGTAAGTAATGTTTTTTTATGCACTTTCATTTTCTAATTAGTTATATTATTCTCATTGAATAAGGGTTAATGTTTGTTTCTGCTGAAAATTTGTGTCTGGGTATTTTCCTCTATTAGGCTGTGGTTCTGAAATCATTAATGGGAAAGAAGTGGAGCCCCACTCAATGCCCTTCATGGCTCTGCTGGAGTCCAAAGCACCAGTCTGCGGAGGAATATTAATTGATCCAAAATGGGTTCTGACAGCTGCACACTGCAAAGAGTGAGGAAAAATAAAACGTTTATTTTTTTTTTGTCTATTATCAAGTAACTTCAGTATAATATAAAAAAACAATCGCTACATTGGTTGTATTTGATTTCCTATCCATTTAAAATTTAGGTGGTTGAAATGTATAGGCATGTAATAAACCAAAAGTGTCTGCAGGTTGAGATGTGTTTCATAATAAGCTGATGGTCACAGAAAGTCATTTTTTCTGCCTTGCAAATGTGGAGGATTTTTTTCTGCTTTGTTAAGCTCAAAAAGTTAACTAATGAGGAAATTGCTGAAAGTATGTATGAATATATTTTTGATATAATGACTTAAAGCAAGCAAGTCCAGCAAGCTCATAGACATTTAAATAAAGATCTCAGACTTTTCTAAAGCTGGTATGTCAGGACCCCAAAGTAACTCTATGCATACATCCTGTTAAATAACATTGAATGACAGCAATTGTGAGGATAGAAAAAAAAATCTACTTCTAAGAATTCTCAAAAGCCAAAAGGCTTCAGAAAATTGTCACATCGTGCTAAACATTCCTGTTTGAACTTTAAGTTTCATTTTCTTATTGAGTAACACGTTTTGATAGTAGCTTTGCAAGAAAGTGGGTAACACTTTGCAAAGTGCTGTTTCATTTTTACAAAATATAAACAACACATACAAAAAAATGTAGTTATTGTCCAGGTTTTTAGGCACAACATTAAGCTACATGCCAGGAGAAGTTTTAAACTGACCATGTAATAATTCTCACCAGTTTATGCGTGGGTCTTCTTTTTAATGTAATGTAATTTGTATGAAATAAACCAAGGGTCCAACATCATAAGATCTTGAATTTGGTGTCATCTCAAAATAATTTATAGGACGTCTATAGATGTTAAAACCCCGGGGAACAAAAGTGAGAAAAAACCTTAAATGACAATGTCCAAGCTGTGACTAATTAGTGATTTTCCCACACTGGGATCATCTGACTTCATAATAGTAAAAGTTCTGAACTGAATGCATCAGTTATTAAATTATTAACAAAAATTGTGAGGGATGTGCTCACTTATGTTAGATCAACATTAGGTATGTCAAGCTCAGTTTTATATAGGGCTACTTTTGCATGATATGTCCTTAAAAGTGATGGTTGCAGCTGTATAAAGGACACTTTTTATTTCATGAACTCATTTATATAGACAATTTTGCAGTTTTACTACCTGTGTAAACATCCAAATAAAAAAAAAAATCTTTAATCTATGACATATATCTTCTTTTGGCTCCTGAGGGCCAAATAAATAAATACATTAATAAAGGTACAAAGTGAGCAAAGATGAGGTATGTGGGAGGCTATCTTCTTTTAGGACATCCAAGCATGCAGAAAAATCTTCTTTGCGCAGGCCACTCAAAAGTATGATGCGTTACTGCAGCTATCATCTGCAACAAGGCTAAAATGAGTAAAGTATCAATAACTATTTTGCAAGTAATGATCGATAGGAGCTTAAAATAAATCCGTTAAACCCAAGGCTATTCATACTGTAACTTTCATAGTTCCCGAAGCAGTTAGTTTTGCTTTATGGAAAAAAAAATGAATGAAGGTAAACCAGAACATGACATTATTTACTTTTGTCTTGTGTGAATATATCAATCTTTGTAAACTAAAAGAGAAAGCAACATTACGGTTGGATTAAATTACATTTTTTTTTCTGATTAGATTAATTCATCTAGATGTAGAGAAAACCATTACTGTCTCATTACTGTGTAGCTTTTAAGCTGTCATATATTAAGTCTTTCTAACACCAAATTGTGTGGTTGCTCTGTCAGCATTAAGACTGTGTTGCTGGGGGTGCACTCCATCAAGGACAAGAAGAAAGAACAAAAGTACAGGCAAGTCTGTAAGGTGCAGAAAAGCTTTCCTCATCCTTGCTATGATGCTAAAGAAAAAAACAATGACCTACAGTTGCTTATGGTAAGCTTGTTTTGCAAAATAAATTAACGTATCTACATGTAAAATAAAACTATATGCATTGGGGAAAAAAATCTGATTAGCAAACACTCTTGCATGTGTGATCCTCCACTATGTTTTTGCACTTGCTCAAACAATCTTTTATGTTTAAAAAAAGATAAAGATTTTTTTCCTTTATTAAACAGAAATACACAAAGCATTTCCATGTTGCTATATTCTGTATATTTCATATTTTCAGAAAACGGTCATATAAAGTCTGTATGTATACTTTCATTGTTTCTTTTTCAGCTGAACAAACCGGTGAAGCAAACCAAATGGGTCAGTGTTCTCAAGCTTAGTAAAATTGTCAGAGAGCCAGAAGACAATTTAGTCTGCATGGTGGCTGGATGGGGAAAAAACAAACCAGATGCAAAGACTATGACAGATGTTTTGATGTCAGTAAATGTAACTGTGATCGACCGAAAGAAGTGCAACTCCAAGGATCATTATGATCTAAATCCATATATTACTAAGAGCATGATATGTGCTGGGTCGAAAGGAAAAAACAAGGCTGACACTTGTGGGGTAAGGAGGTTTAATGACCTTTTCACAAAGAATAACACCTTGTTACGACATTTAAATGATCTGTTATCTTTGTTTTGTTTTTTTCTCAGGGGGATTCAGGAGGGCCAATATTATGCAACGGAGTTCTTGTCGGAGTCACATCTTTTGGAGGCAACCGCACTGTTCCCTCTGAAATATGTGGATCAGTAAAGTGGCCCGGAGTGTATGCTTTCCTTTCAAAAGACAATCTAAACTGGATAAACAAGGCAATGAAGTCTCCTAAAATTGAATAACTCTTCTCTTTAACTAATGTTGATACAGTGATAACATATACTCTCAGTTTATTGTGCTGTGTTTATAATCTCTCATCACAAGAAGTTATTAAAAATACACTTCAAAGACTCTGAATCTTTAAAACCATAAAATATGTTTATAAAAATAAATTTTTGTATGTGTTTGTGGGTGTGTGCTGTTGTAGCCATATATGTGTTACTTTGTGCGGCGTGGTGTAAGGCCAGTGTGTTAGGTTTAGGACTAAGGTTTGAGTTGAAGTTCAGGTGCTTAGATGAGGTTTAGGATTTAGGTAAGGTTCTGGGTTAGTCCATACAAATTAATGCAAGATGAATGGAAGTCAATGCAAAGTCCCTGTAATGATAGCAAGACGTAATCTGTGTGAGTGTGTTTGTGTGTTTCTGTTACTGACACTTCAAATTACAAGGCGATATTCTTTAAACGTTCATTTAATTTAATCATTAAATTATCAAACGAATAGTTGTGCACTTGTGGAGGAGCTTTTTATAATACCTAAATAAAGCATGCAGCTGGTTCCCTTTAGTCCTATATATGTCTGTGGATGTGGTAATTTAGATGAAGACCACAAGCTGAAATTCTCTAATAAAGTTGTTTCCTTATTTCTAAGAGACTGCATATTTGCACCACATATATTAATGCTCAGAACTTACATATCAATGCGTTTTTTGCCTCATGTCTTTTCTCAAACAGCCCCATTTACACTACCCTTTTGAAGCCGTGCCGAGATCAGTGCGAGCACAGTAACAAAGATAATTGTTGATGGTAAATGGCACGCAAAACTGAACCGGACTGTGCCAGACACAACCGAACCACGCTAATCTGGTACTAGTTCAACAGTAGGGCCGGGTGTGGTTCAGTTCTGGCACGGTTCTCAGATAAGAAAGAGTGCATGAGGATACCACGTCAACTTCTTACAGTCAGCCTCTGTCATCATGAAAATCCAGACATTCATAAAATCACAATTTCCAGTGATTATTCTGCTTAGCAATGTGATGAACCTCAAGTTCTGTTATTGTTTCCTGCATCTGTAAGCCCTCATTAGACTATTCTTTGTCATATCCACTTCCCAAAGGCCGACTCTGTCAAGTAAAAGCATGAAAGGCTGCCTTCTTCACCTGACCCTCCCCTAACTTCCTTAATGTTACGGGTGCTGCCATGTTGATTTGCTTGTTTACCTCTAGAGAGCAGTAGTACCGTAGATTGTCACTAGGAGGTAAAGAACCGAATTCGGCACTGTTAACTGATCCAAGCTTGGCACGGATCGGTTTTCAGATGGTAGTGTAAATGGGGCTATAGTTCACATTTGATCACTGCTGCACTTTATGGAAGGGAAATGTTCATTTACTGTCTAAAAAGCTGCACTAAAAGAAATGTCATTTTGTATACACAGAGGGCCGGATCTATCAAAGGTTTGCGTGTATAAAAACGTGAGCTATTTCACTGCGCACGCTAAAAAATGTACAAACTGATCTATCAACAGCGTGCTAAAAGGATTTGGTCTTTAAAACGTGCTAAATAGCGCCTCTTATCCATTTAGTACTTTTTCTGCAATAAATATGCAATATGGGGCGTTTACGCGCAAAAGTGCGTCTTGTGGCAGGAGAACATGTAAATATATTAATTTAGCACTCGCAAAGTGATTTATTAAACCTGAAAGCAATTTTGCTAACGGTATCTGACTCTATATTTAACACGTTTCAAAAGAAGGTGCAAATGGTCTGTACGCGTAATTGCGCACACATGGCAGCGGTTATTGTCGCAAGAAGGAGACATCGAAATGAAGCAAGGAGACGCAGAGAAAGCATTTTTTCACTCCGTGTGAATATTTTTGCAATGAACGATGAAACGATCATCAAAACATATCGTTTATCCTGCATTGCCATTTTGGAGCTGTTGGGGGAACTCTGAATGGTTTTGGAGCCAGCCACAAGGAGGACCCACGCAATACCAGATATCACAAAACTCCTTGCAACATTTGCAACATTGGATCTCCCAATCTAGTCTTTCAGAAGTGCTGTCTGACGTTCTAAATGCCATGTCGCCCTGACACCCTAACGGAGAACCCCGACCTCCTCCTTGCGCCTGTGGAGCAACATGCCAATGCTGCGGGGATGCGTAGGCACAGTCATCTTATCCACAGTCACTTCTTGTGAGCCATTTGGTATGTGCATTTTTCTACAGGCCAATACAAAACACCTGTTTTTTTTTGTTTTTGTTTTTTTTTACTGCAGTAAAGTAGAAATTCAGCCACATACCACCTTAGGGAATAAAGCTTGCCAAAGTTTATATATATATATATATATATATATATATATATATATATATATATATATATATATATATATATATATATATATATATATATATATATATATGGGTGTGTCACTGTAAGATTAAAATTTCTTAATGCACTAGTTTGCACAAACTACAAACTACTTTGCCGCAAACCACAAAACGCGCAAAACCATCATTTAAATAGGGCGTCTCCAACAGTTTTGCACCTGCCACCAGTTACGCAATCGCTCTTGTTAAATCACCCGCAAACCATGGTTCAGCCCCTCGCGCAAAATTCCAGTTTGCGATCGCAAATTACTGCACGCAAAATTGGATCTTGATAAATCCGGCCCAGAGTGTATACAAAATGAAATAAAAGTTGTCTAAGTCTACGTTTGTATTGCAGTGGAGCTTTACCTGTTATAAAAAATTCAATGTTTATCTTGCACATCCAAAAAATATATATCAATATATTGTGAAATATTTTCAATTTTAATTTTAAATTGACTTGTAAAAAACTATATATATATATATATATATATATATATACACTCACCGGCCACTTTATTAGGGACCCCATGCTAGTAACGGGTTGGACCGCCTTTTGCCTTCAGAACTGCCTCAATTCTTCGTGGCATAGATTCAACAAGGTGCTGGAAGCATTCCTCAGGGAGTTTGGTCCATATTGACATGATGGCATCACACAGTTGCCGCAGATTTGTCGGCTGCACATCCATGATGCGAATCTCCCGTTCCACCACATCCCAAAGATGCTCTATTGGATTGAGATCTGGTGACTGTGGAGGCCATTTGAGTACAGTGAACTCATTGTCATGTTCAAGAAACCAGTCTGAGATGATTCCAGCTTTATGACATGGTGCATTATCCTGCTGAAAGTAGCCATCAGAAGTTGGGTACATTGTGGTCATAAAGGGATGGACATGGTCAGCAACAATACTCAGGTAGGCTGTGGCGTTGCAACGATGCTCAATTGGTACCAAGGGGCCCAAAGAGTGCCAAGAAAATATTCCCCACACAATGGCACCACCACCACCAGCCTGAACCGTTGATACAAGGCAGGATGGATCCATGCTTTCATGTTGTAGACGCCAAATTCTGACCCTACCATCCGAATGTCGCAGCAGAAATCGAGACTCATCAGACCAGGCAACGTTTTTCCAAACTTCTATTGTCCAATTTCAATGAGCTTGTGCAAATTGTAGCCTCAGTTTCCTGTTCTTAGCTGAAAGGAGTGGCACCCGGTGTGGTCTTCTGCTGCTGTAGCCCATCTGCCTCAAAGTTCGACGTACTGTGCATTCAGAGATGCTCTTCTGCCCACCTTGGTTGTAACGGGTGGTTATTTGAGTCACTGTTGCCCTTCTATCAGCTCGAACCAGTCTGGCCATTCTCCTCTGACCTCTGGCATCAACAAGGCATTTCTGCCCACAGAACTGTCGCTCACTGGATGTTTTTTCTTTTTCGGACCATTCTCTGTAAACCCTAGAGATGGTTGTGCGTGAAAATCCCAGTAGATCAGCAGTTTCTGAAATACTCAGACCAGCCCTTCTGGCACCAACAGTCATGCCACTTTCAAAGTCACTCAAATCACCTTTCTTCCCCATACTGATGCTCGGTTTGAACTGCAGGAGATTGTCTTGACCATGTCTACATGCCTAAATGCACTGAGTTGCCACCATGTGATTGGCTGCTTAGAAATTAAATGTTAACGAGCAGTTGGACAGGTGTACCTAATAAAGTGGCCAGTGAGTGTATATATATATATATATATATATATATATATATATATATATATATATATATATATATATATACAGTATATCCTTTTTATGTCTTCATGAGGATCATAGGGTGGATGGCGCGGCGCCCTTGCACCCTGTATTGACCAGCTGCCACAGCCTGCCATCATTTTAAATGGACATTATTGAATGTACAATACTGAATGGACATTGACATTTGGCCTAACTTCGACACACCTAAAAAATGATTTGAATGGACTTTGAATTGATTATTCGTTGAGCTACTCTAGCCTGACGTAGTCCGACTCAATTCTAGTCAGAATATGAGTCTGATACTGCTCCATAGAGCTGTGATTATGGGGCGTGTTTCGAACGAACCAGGGAAAAAAATGCCTCTGCACTCAATTGGATAGACCTACAACCAATAAGAGCAACGGAGTGCGTGACGTATGTTAAGCGAGGCATAGTTGTTGTCCACAAAAATCAAAGCGTGCAGTTTCACGCCTATAATAAGAAGATGAGACTTGATCGCGTTTCTCTGTTCCTCTTTTAAAATTATTTTGCTTTTGATATCTTCTAGAACAGACCTAATAGCAGAATCTACTCACCTAAACTCTCCAGCGGCAGCCATTATTGTTGTCACCCAAGCGCGCATTGGTCACGTGGTTGATTACGTTACTGTTGGTCATCTGTCCATCATCGTATAAAGCCCGCCCTTACAATTTGACTGGATCGCCTGGCAGTGGGCGATAATACTCGCGCTACTATGGAGCAGAGCCAGACCGAACTTCCCCGTCCTCAAACTTTGTGGGCGGGACTAAGTTCGGAATGGCACCCAGGCTAGAGCTACTCCACCTCATGTTCATTTTCTAGCAGTGCATAGTGTTTACATAGATGTTAGATTTCCTATATTTCTTGATTGTTAGAAATAAAGACATCATTATTTTAACCTGTAATAGTTTATGTTTGTTGTGCAGCGAATGATTTATCACTCAGTTCAGACTCATGAACAGGTGCATGAGACCAGACTGCTAGGTGTAATAGTTGACTCTAGATTATCATGGAAAAAACATATTAGTAATATTATTGCAAAAATGGGAAGAGGTATATCCATTATGAGAAGACATGCAAATTTCTTAACTTCAAACATTAGGAGTTATGAAATGAAAGCACTAATATTGACATACCTCGACTATTGCCCAGCAGTTTGGTCAAATGCCACTGGGGAATATATAAATAAACTACAACTTATACAGAATAGAGCTGCTCGTGCAGCACTCAGGTGCA